CCTAATCCCTATAATCTTCTGAGTTCTTTACCTCCTAGTCATAGGTGGTATACTGTACTTGACCTGAAGGATGCGTTCTTCTGCCTAAGGCTGAGCCCGGTTAGCCAGCCCATCTTTGCCTTTGAATGGAAGGACCCTGAATCTGGAATATCGGGACAACTAACCTGGACGCAGCTTCCCCAAGGATTCAAGAACTCCCCCACTCTGTTTGATGAAGCTCTACACTGTGATTTGGCTGATTTTTGGGTAAGAAACCCACAGATTATGCTTCTTCAATATGTGGATGACCTCCTCTTAGCAGCTGAGACAGAAGCTGGCTGTCTGCAAGGTATGGAGGCTCTCCTACTAAGACTGGGGGAACTTGGATACCAGGCTTCAGCAAAGAAAGCCCAGATCTGCCTACAGCAGGTGAACTATTTGGGCTATAGGTTGGAGGGATGGCAACGTTGGCTGACGGAAAGCAGGAAACAGGCAGTAGCCTCTACCCCCGCACCAACCTCAGCCAGAGGACTCAGAGAGTTCTTGGGAAGCGCAAGATTCTGTAGACTATGGATACCGGGTTTCGCTAAAATAGCAGCTCCTTTATATCCTTTGACAAAGAACAAGACCACTTTTGTCTGGACTGAAGAACACCAGGAAGCTTTTGACAAAATAAAAAGAGCGCTGCTGACGGCTCCAGTGTTAGGACTGCCAGATCTGACAAAACCTTTCATCCTATATATAGATAAAAATAATGAGATGACAAAAGGAGTTCTTACTCAGACTTTGGGACCCTGGAAAAGGCCAGTGGCTTATCTCTCAAAGAGACTGGACAACGTGGCCACTGGCTGGCCCCCATGCTTAAGAATCATGGCGGCAATAACATCCCTGGTAAAAGATTCAGACAAACTCACTATGGGTCAGCCCCTGACTGTTATAACACCACATGCAGTGGAGTCCATCATTAGACAGCCCCCTGACAGACGGCTGTCAAATACCAGGGTGACCCATTACCAGGCACTATTATTAAATCCAGAAAAGATTAAGTTTGATAGCCCGACCACCTTAAACCCCGCCACACTACTACCAGCTCCTGGAAAAGGTACTGAGATTCCCCATGACTGCCAACAAATACTTGCGGAGACACATGGGACCAGAGAGGACCTCACCGACCAGCCCCTAACAGATGCATATGTCACCTGGTATACGGATGGGAGCAGCTTTCTGCGAAACAGTGAACGTAAGGTGGAGGCAGCGGTGGTCGATGGGGAAAAAAAATAATTTAGGCCCAAGCCCTGCTGGCCGGAACTTCAGCCCAACGGGCTGAATTAAAAGCCTTAACCCAGGCCCTAAAAATTGGCAAAGGACAGAAAGGTCAACATTATCCATTACCCTGGATATCAACGAGACCAGGGCCTGATTGCTCGGGACAATCGGATGGCAGATGAAACTGCCCACCAGGCAGTGGAAGGTACTTGTATTCTCTACACCTATTCAGACTTTGAGGCTAAAATTAAAACATAAACAAAGGAGATTGTGTCTCATGTTCCCTCCTGGTGAATGCTACCAGATCAAAGGTCCCATCTGGTAAGAGAGAAAGAGGGACACGACCAGGGACTAACTGAGAAGTAGATTTTACTGAGGTCCTCTCAGGAAAATATGGTTATAAATATCTTTTAGTGTTCATAGACACTTTTTCAGGGTGGGTTGAGGCTTTTCCCACCCGGAAGGAAACAGCCCAGACGGTGGTGAAGAAACTGATCGAAGACATTTTCCCTTGATTTGGACTGCCTAAGGTAATTGGGTCTGATAATGGCCCAGCCTTCGTCTCCCAGGTAAGTCAGGGATGTAATAGTTTTAGATGATAACATAAGCAAAGGAAGTCAAGGGTGTGTGTGTGTGTGAAAATGGGAAAGCTGGTGCAAGTATGCTCAGCCAGTCAGACCTCAAACTTCCATTCCTCCTGCCTCAGCCTCCTGAATGCAGGGACTACAGCATGCCTCCTTGCCTGGTCCCTACTCTGATTTCTTTCTTTCTCTGGCTGAAGTATAAATGCAACTGAATCCTACTGATGGAATCAAACCAAATCTCCCCGCAAAGGAAGAATATTCGGGGAAACTGTATAAGGAAGTAAGATGTAAAATCCTAACTACTGAGACAAAGCTGACCTTTTCATGCTCTGTGCACAAAGCCGGACATCACCCAAAACTTCCTCCTCCTACTGCTGCCGGTTGCTGCCGGCCCCCTCCCACTGCTGCTGTTGTGGTTTGTGGTTTTTGCCTTTAAAAATCGCCTGTAAGCTGAGCTCAGGGCTGCTGTCCTCTCTCTCTCCGAGTGAGGCAGGGGCCCGTCTGCGCAAACGATTAAATCCTCTTGCTTATTGCATCTCCTGGTCTGAGGACTGAGTTATTGGGGTGCGGCCTCCCGTGGATGTTGGGTACCCCAGCCTGGGGGGGGGGTCCTACATCCCTATGTTTACTCTTAATTTCTGACTCAAAGGACACAATTCACAGAGCAGCACCTATCTGTGGTCACAGTTTTAGAGTGCTGTCTAAGAACTCTAACAACTACCACTGAGTAAAATTTATAGATCTTTCCAGGGGCTGGGGAACATAGGTCAGGAACAAACCACTTGTTCAGCATGAATAAGGACCTGGATTCAATACTCAGCACTGCAAACAAAAACAAACCAAAAAACCCAAAAAACCCCAAACCCAAAAAGCTTATCTTTCTTCTTTTAAATGCCAACACACAATTGGGTATTTATTTATTTATTTATTTAT